GATGCTCGCCTGCACACTGGAATCCTGCTGCAGCTTCTCGCGCTGCTCGTTCATCAAGTCCTCCGACAGCTGATCCAGAGATATTGTCGCCAGCGGTCCCTCGTCTATGTTGCACCCGGTCCACGGATTCCAGTTCGGCTGCGGTGGCGACCAGCTTACGAAACCGGCGGGTTGTGGCACAGAAGATATGAAGTCGTCCAAAACTTTATTCGTCAACAAAGATATGCCGGCTGACGCACCATTTTCCTCTTTCACCGCGGTATTCCCTTCTTTCGACACCGACGGCTGTATTTTAGACAAATATTTTACTTTACACGTCTGTTTATGCGTAAACATGAAGAAAGGCAAATAGAAATGACGAGCACCATCTCAACATCAATTGGTTTTATATCCAAACTCATCAGGACGTCGTGGATCTGACTTTCCAGCTCTGGTGAAATCTTCACGGGATAAGGTTTCATCTGTTGAGCATCCTTGTTCTTTTTCAATGTACCACTAAATGCTTCGATAACGCCTAGATGATACAGCTGGCGGACAATGGACAAAGCGCAGCTTTTCGAAGCTGTTTGTTTGTTCGATCCAGTTTCACGGCCAGTTATACCTGAAGCACGTTAAAGAATTGTTACACTCGTGCAACTGTGACTGGGTACACCTAAATAAATTAACATACTTCGTCCAAGTTGCTTGATGTGAAGCGTCATCTCTGCCATGAAACTCCTGCGAGTAATAGTTTTTATTACAGATGTTGCGAAAGATATCGCTTAGATATTATTAACGGAATCAATAATTAAGGGAACAATGTGAAAGAAATACAAAGGTAAAGTAATGCAGTTTGAACCGAGACAGAGATACTTCAAATAATGGAACAAGACGTTTGCGATTGTAAATTGAAAACGAAAACTAATTTATATCGTTACAATTTCATCTGTAAAAATTATACAAGTCAACGTGTATATTTTGTTGTAAGTTTGTCGAAGCGTATAAAACGATCCTCGGAATAAGCGTCTATCTCGAAGGTTTGTTCCACTTATTCCCTTAATTACATCTAACGGTAACAACTTACCATTTGGAGACGTTACAGACGACCACATTGGAGTACATTGGAGAAAGTTTCTTTGTGTCGTTGCACCAAAACCACTATTAAATCATTTTAATAAAAGCTTTGGTTCAACGCCATCAACGTTTTGCTGCACAAGAGAGTCGACGACCACTCTCTTGCGCCGGTTTCAGACATGAGCGAGCAATATACTCCAACATGGTCTTGTTAAATCTCAAATGGCAACAACAATCGGCGTGCGATTGCTCGAGCGAATTATTGCGAATCGAGCTACAAATCGAGCATTACAGTCCAATTGCGGTAGAAAAACTCCCTGACGAGACTCCATACCTCGTATGATCCGGACCGACCGGAGTATATTTGTAATCGGCATTAATTTTGCTAGTTTGCATAAACTGATGTAGCTTGGACTTGGCGTTTTCTATCGTCCAGTTGCCGTGTATGCCGGAGTTGACGTCAACGTCCTCCGCGTCCTCCACCTTCTTCTGATCCGCCAGCCTGTCCATGTACGTGTAATTGCTCTGGCCGCGATCGGTCGGATTGTACGGCCTGTACGCCTCGCCGATGTCGTTCGGCCCCATGCCGCTCTGGAACACCGGCCTCACCGGCGCCGCGACCTCGCTCGCGACCCCGTCCGGCGCCGCCGCCGGCAGCGTCGCCGCGTCCGTCGGCACGTCGTTCGGGTTCACGCGAGCCGTGCGCACCAGGTAGTTGACGTAGTCCTTGGCGGCGTTCCCTTGCGCGTCCTTCTTGTTGGTCGAATTGCCCGCGCCGACATAGTCGAAGCCAGGCACACGCAGCTCGCAGAGAAACCGCTGCCTGTGCTTCGGCCCTGCGAGATGCGAAAAGAGCGGCCTGTTTACCATCCGTCAACCTCGAAACGGCAATAACGCGGACGTGGCTTACCCGTCGGTCTCACGTCGAACTGCGGCTCGTTCCCGTTCCTCGAGCACCACTGGTGAAAGAAGGATTTGATATCGCCCATTTTCCCCGAGTTCACTCGTCGCTGTCCTCACGCTAGCGTCTCTTCCACGAAATCCGAGGGGGACAATAAATGATAATCGAGCGTCTCGCACTCACATTTCCGCTGCGAAAGGAGCGATCGAAGCGACGAACAGCGCAGCCTTCGTTTGAGTTTACCTTTTTACGGAAGTCTTTCAACCGGTAGGTTAGGTCAGGTTAGGTCAGCGCGATGTTAAAAATTTATACTTTTGATCGTTTTACCTTTAACAGAAACGCCGTCGGCTTCTTTGGTCGTACAGAGCGACTAAACTCTTCACTCTATTTCGTCTCACTCTCCGCCCCCCGTTTAGTTTCGATACCTCGTCAAGGCGCCTATTCGGCTTTTAATAACTCGGGCCTCCGTTAACTTGCTCTCCGCCGGGTTACGCGCAAGTGTTCACTGTCAAAATTTTCCCCACTTATCGTTAGAAGACGTCCGGGTCACTCGGCAATCTCGGAATCCCACACGGGAACCTTCCCGCACAACACCGCGAAGCTACGTAGAGTACCTAACCTCTAGTGAGAGTATGGCCAACCTCCGACATTAACAGGGAAACTGTGGCGCGCTTTTCAAATTCATTTCTGGTTTTTTTTCCAATTGCAAGCCTCTTCATATATCGGCTGTATCCCGATATTCACTGCCAGAGTGAAAATCTGTAGTGAACGTGACGTAAAGTATAGATTTTTAGTACTGGTAGTGAATATCGGAACGCAGCCACGTTAACTTCTATATGTGAATCTGAAATACTATTGGGAAACGTGGACATGAACTACGTAGCCAATGTCCACATTTCGCCAAGTGGCTTCATATTGATAACGTAAATTTTGCTAAGGCACGGATTTGTTCAAAGATCAACGAAACGCGTATCATTAAGGCAATTTTTTTTCAAGTATACAATTGTTTAGTATATTTCGAGATAATTATACATATTAGAATTGTCATACACACCTTAAAAGAACATTTACAATGTGCGTGTAAGTCTACAATAGATGATTTAAGCCCTAAACTTTAAGAAATTGACCAATCACGGCCAAGTATGAGTAGAATACGCGACTGTGATTAGTCAATTTCTTAAGGCTTGGGGTTTAAATCTCTATTGTAGACTGGGACTAAAGACCATGCAAAGGTCTTTCTCGTGAGTTATAGAAATATTTTTCCACCTAAAAGTACGTTAAAATTTACGGATATATTTATACACTAACTTCCCAGAGAACATGCATGTCCAAAAGACATCTTTAAGACGTCTGTTAGTCGTCTTTTAGACATAAGACTAATAGACGCGTTCAAGATGTATTTTAGACAAGCATGTTCTCTGGGTTATTAATTATTATGTGCGTACGAATTATTTAGTATTAACTAAACGCTTAATCTACTATATATAGTACAGCTGCGTATAAAAATTGCATTCAACTACACTTCTACTCGGTAAAAGATATTGTAAGATGTGCTTTTTCTTTTCACTTAACTCGTACACTCCACTTAAACCAATTTCGACTGTGTTTGTCAACAACGTGGGAAACAATTCAAGTACATTCTAGCATTCCAACTTCACCAAACAACAAAGTACCTCGACTTCTCTATTTGTACTGTCATACATATATTAAAATTTATTTTGAAACTGACAAATCTTTAGCACGATTGGCGAGAGAAAGACAGAGGGGACGAACGTTAAAATTAAATTCGTCATGTCATTCTCGAGGGCGAGAATTATCTTTAAAGTTGTCTTATTTGTCATGTATTAAAAACTTATTGTCCCGCTTAAAAGATAAAGGCTAGGCTGTTCGGGGCTGGCGCGAGTTTCGGGGTGTTTGCGGCTCTGGGGCTGTGCGGCGCTTTGCGAGCGGAGCCAACGGGCGTCGTTGCCGCGGCGAGATGCTTCCTCAGCGGCTTCATGGGCGTTCGCACCGGCGTCCTGTTGACGTTGCTCTTGTTCGAGTTCCTTAGTATCTGCTCCGGCAGCATCGAGCTGTGTAGCTCCTCCCTGTCAGTCATGTGGCCCTGGAACTGATTGTAGGTCGTGTCGGTGATGCTGTTGATGGGCGACAGCGAGTTCCTCTTCTTCTGCCCGCCCTTGGAGGATCTGCCCGGCTTCTGGATTTTCGGCAGCCTCCCGCTCCTTCGGACCTTGGACACGGTAACGGTAGGCATGGCCTTGTCGCCGTTCTTGTTCCTGCGCTTTATTGACGAGTTGGGAGACGGGCTGAACAATTTGCGCTTCGACAGCCCCGGTCGGGGCGTCAGAACCTTGTGCACGCTCAGGGACATGCCCGGCGTCCGCTTCGAGCTGTTCAGAGGCGACTTCTTGATCGACCTATCCTTCGCTTCCTTCCTCGCTTTCTTTATCGTCTCCTTCTCTTGAGTAATACTTTCCCAGGTCTCCGCCAAAATGGTTTCCAGCGACGTGCCGTTAATGGTAAAAATTTGATCGTGCTTAGACTCGTATTCTTGGAGTAGCTGCCTCAACTCCGCTTCTATCTTGGGCAACTTCTTCTGGATCGCCTTGCGCTCCTTCTCCTCCATCAGCAATTTCCCACCGCGATTGTGGTAGCGATCGGGATTGTTTGCCCGCTGCAGCAGCTCCTTTATCTTCATTATCAGGCTGTCCCGCTGCTCCAGAAGCTCGAATATAGTTCGATTATCGTTGTAAAACTTGCGCAGCCTCTCCACCTCCAGCTCGTGCAACGTCAGCAGGTCCTCCGTGAACGTGTTGGAGTAGAATGGCGCGAAAGTGGTCCTCTCCTCCTCGCAATACTTGCACTGGTCCCACAGATCCAGCAGTTCGTATCTGACCTGCTTGACATACTTGGAGATGTTCTCTTTCCTCTTTTCTTTGCAGCGCTTTATCTCCGCGCTGAAGGCACTCACGGTACTAGTACTATAGCCAGAGTGCTTTTCGAGGAACGATTGACAAACATCGACCGGCTCGTCGAGATACTTCCACAGCGCCATTAGATCCTCCTTCATCCTCTCGACGCAGCACTTAGTATCTTCCACCTGCGTACTCAGCCCGTCCCTGAACTCGCGCAACTTCGTCATATTGCTCGCACACAGCACGAACTCCCTGGGATTGTTGCAGACCAGTTCCTCGAAGGGCGAGGACGGAGATATATCCAAGTCGCCCATCATCCTGACGACGTCGCGACGCACGTCTGCGAAAACGTTCTCCAAACGCATCTTCTCGATCTCCTGCTTCTGCAGATAGACCTTGAAGCTCTCGAGCTCTAGCTCGGTGGGCAAAACGTCCGCGACGATGTTCACCGCCTTGCAACCGAGCCTTTTACAGATGTCGCTTTCCTGCGACAGCAACTCCTGCAAGATCAGCATACGCTTCTTCTTTATGCACTCTAACTCTTGTAGGTCCGCCCGCAGCATCTGCTCGACCTTGCACAAGGGGACCTGATCGTACGTTTTGTGTATCATATCTATTTGCAGCTCCGCGTATAGCGATGTCGTTTGCTCCAAGAGATTCTGGACGCTGTCGAGTAGGAGCTGCTTTTTCGACTGCGCCTCACATACCATATCGCTGAAGAGGAACTTTACGTGATCGTGTGCTTGCTCGTAGTATGTCATGCGCATGTCCTGGGTGCAACCGATGTCCACCCAGACATCTCGCAGGTCCTCGAGTCCCTGGTCGGTGATCACGGCCATTCTTGCCGCAACGGCCTTCCACTCCGGTTGATCGCCCATAATTTGGACTTAATGTTCTTCGGGAAGTAATAATATTGCAAATTAGAATCAGAGCCGCTTTAAATTGCGCGTAATCGTATACGTACCTCGATCCCTGTCACTCTATTGCACGAAATAGACTCACACGCGTCACGGCTCGTCGTAAGCGACGCCGCGTTACGAACATGCTGTCTCGAATGCCGTTACCTTTTGAAATTTAAACGGTCTGCATTGGGTATACGCGTTTACTCGCTTGGCGATCTTGGCGTTGTTGTCGCAACGTGTTCCGAAAACGATCCGAAATGTCACTGCACCGTTTGCACCTCGCGAGTGTACGGAAGTGTAGCCGAAAAGAATAAACCGCTCAGCAGACAGTAAAGCCTATCACACAATACTAGGCAACAGGTAATAGGAATATCGTCGGAAATTTTCTTCCAACCAATCCAACGCGTCAGAAATTCTATTCTCTGTTTTTGTTGCCTGGCATTGTGTGACAGGCTTTAAGCCAACGGTACACGGTACTATTTTTCCCACTGGATTGCTTACGAGAGCCAATCAGAATGCAGAGTTTTCGATCAGGTGACTAAAGCCCGTATCAGACTACGGATTGGGATTGGGATTAGATTGAAATTTGACCAA